AGCAGTTTTTCACACAATTATGTCTAGGGCATGTCTTACAATTTTGACCAGCTCTTCTGGCCAGCGTAATTATGGGAAAGGGAAGGGGGAGAAGGAGTAGTAGGAGGAGGTGGAAAAATAAGGATCACTGGTGGCCAATATCTGAACCGGCTAGATAATGAGCCCGTGGTTTACTAATTACAACGTTGGACTTCTAATCAACAGGTCGCGGGGTTTGAGTCTCGGTTGGTGCAGCACCTGCGGTTGGGCATGACTGGCTGATGTCGGACAAAAAGCCAGAAATTGTCAGTTTAGTCCCCCTGTCTTTGTCGCTAATGTTGATTTGTCCATAAGGAGCATTATGTGAAAAGAGTGGTTGGCATATGCATACTGTATCAGCGAGCAAGTTCCATTAACCAGGCGTACGTTCCGAAATGACAGAAATATCAACATGTCCCCTTACTTTACAATACAGGTATATATGGCGGAGGTGTTATACCGTATTCACAACATATTTAGTGGGTAGCAGCCAAGACACTTGCTTTGCCGATGTTTCCACTACGGTAGGAAGTAGCTGCTAGGTTCTGACTCCGCCAGTGATTCCCTCAGCGTCCTCTATGTGGTTGCTGGTGTTCGAACAAGTAACTGTGGGCAGTATGGTATGGCACCCTTACCATAGAAACTTTATGCTGCTTGTAGTAATACTCGTTTGTAGAATGGGCACGACGCGATTATTCCGCGGTAGTTGCTTGCCTTCGACTCAAACGTCGGGTCTGATCCTAAAAAGTTTTGCACTTAATAATGTCTAAATTTATAATATACATGTATGGTGTGCTCTAGAAATCACGACACCTTGGCTGTAATTTTTCGTCCCAATTTCTACTGCAGCTATTCTATCAAGTGGGGCTGCTTCTTACAAGGTTCCATAACATATAATTTTGAAACTCCGGAAACGATTGAATACTTTGGCTGTTTTCAAACATATTCGTATTATGAAACTCCTAGACCTAGAGCACATTTTTGTTTTAAGCATCATAGTTGCATGAGGAGTAACTTCACATTGAATGCTTGGCGTTAGAAAAGCATCAAAAACAGTGGAAATATGTGCATCTAAATGGGTGTTATTTTACGGTTGGCTGAAAAAATCGACTTTGCTGTCTCGTACGAGTTGACTTGCCGTTAGAGCACGTCTGCATTTGAAAGTGTTTAGAAAAGTTCTGACCATTTTTCGGGAGTTTTTGCCTGTGAAAATGCCAGAGTTCCCTTAGATTGCTGGAAGCATAAGATAAAATGATTACCTTCACCGTATTTTTAGGGGGAGGGGATAAGGTGAGAGAGCTTGAAAGAAGTCGCAAGCTCACGGGTGCACCTAGAAATTGATGACGAATAAGCGTTTTGTGGATAAAACGTGATACGATCCGGATCAAATTACATAGAGTCTGCATTGTGCACCGGCTAACTTTAGGTTAACTAACCATTCAACCCGATGTTTTACGTAGTCGCAAAATCACATGCTTAAACGTGATAATTGCAATAAAGTAAATGCTCAACGGCATAGGGAAGCACTTACATGCTTGTTCAACCAAAGCCATTCCTCCAACCTTTCGTTCTCAATTTTTGCGTAGCCCCTATTGGCTAATTTCAGTTATATGCGGGGAGTGAGAGGAGGGGGCTAAACTG